GATGGATGGATGGATGGATGGATGGATGGATGGATGGATGGATGGATGGATGGATGGATGGATGGATGGATGGATGGATGGATGGATGAACTTCTATTTTTCATATCTGTGTAGGAACCCTGGCTTTTTTAAAGTGTATAAAAGCAACAAATAAATTAAACGATACAGAAAGAGAAGTGAAACGAGGCTTTAATCTGATCACAGTACCTCCTTGTAACATTTTTTGACAATCTGGTTTCTGGAGTTGCCCCACACAGTCAGATCCTCTCTATCATAATTAACAACCATCTCCGAAACCTGTAAAAACAAACATCTTTAAAAACATAAAATATGTATTTTTTCTTACCATAGCAAACTACAAGACAAACTTTGCAGCTTTTTTTGCTATAAAAGCATGTGATTTCAGTTTCCACATGTTAATTTCTACTATTAAATTAATAATTTAACCTTTCAAGAACTTTCTAGGAACCAACAAAACACACAGTTCATTCATTTGTTTTCAGAGTCTAAATAACATATAAACAAAAATGTAAGAAAATCTACTTTTATTAATACTTTATGAATAAAAAAAAAAACAAAGAAAGAACACCCACACACGAACCTTCTTAATGAGTGTGTCATTGTTGACCTTGATGTCGATGTTGATGGGGGTGTTTGGGAAGGCGTCGAACACATCCTTGAGGAGAGGGATACGTTTGTCTTCACCTCCCTCACAGAAACACTCTTAGCACAAAGAGACAAGTTAAAGTCACAATCTGAATTGATGTATCCCCAAAACTTTCTAAGTAATAAAAAACCCTGTGTTTCAACTATGATAGTTTTACAACACATCTGTAGGTTTGAAGGGAGAAACGGTTTATTAATGCATTGCTGATGGAGCCAACCGGGTGTTTATAGGGAATGCTAAATCCATCCCAGGTGACAGAAGAATTTGGGTTTATTTTGCAATAAATTTCTTAACGATTGCCTCATTAAATGTTACTTAATGGTTGCTTATATGAACAGTGCTTGTGTTTTTGCTGGAAAGGAGAACCAGAATGCCATATTTTTGTAATTCCTACCTCTTTGAAAGGTTACACCCAGCTTGCAGAGGTAAGGAGGAAGCTCCTGTGAAAACAACACAGAAACGGGGAACAGTTCACATACGTTCAAGCCGTTTGTTGACATTCATGATGGATTTCATCAAAATGTGTTAAACATGGACAAAAATAAAGCAAATTTTTTAAACCCTGTATATGGAAGTAAATCTATGTCGCTGGGATTTGAATTAAAAATGCCACTGAAATTTAAATGTTGTTTGTTTGTACTTACCGTTTCAGTGTTAACACATATTCATAACACATTTTT